TGTTTGTAGGATATGTTATTAACTCTTTAAGAACAAAAACTTGTGATGTATTTTTTTTGTTATGAGTTTGGTCTAACCATTTCATAATTATTTATGTTTTATTAATAATACTTTTATATGATGATAAAGTAGAACTTCAATATAAAGTAGTGTAAAATAGTTGTTGAAACATTTCTATGTATAAGTGCTAAATGTAAAACTTTAAGGGTGATAAAATTACTATATACAAAAACTCTATAATTGCAAAAAATGACATAAAAGAGTATTGGTTCTTAGAGTAATCTCAATCTCTTAATTTTTCTAAGCAAGACTTTTAGCTTAATAACTTTTTTCTTCTATTTCTTCTTTATTGCTTATATTTAAGTTCTCAAGTTGTTGTTTACGTCTATGGTTTCTTGTCTTTTATTCTTACATTTATATAAGTTCTCAAATTGTTGCTTACTTCTATGATTTCTTGTCTTTTGTTCTTATATTTAACTTTTTAACTTTTGTTTCTTCCTATATTTTTCAAGTACTTGTTTGTTATTTGACTTTTACGGAAATGGTTTTCTAGGTCTTAATTACATTTTTTTTCTAATTTCCAATTCTAATATTACTTTATTTGATTAAGTTGTCTATCTTTTATTAACTCCACTTTCCAAATTTATTATATAGAATGGTACATAAATGTTTATTTAAAAAAAAAAATTCAAACACTGTGGGTAAAAGCAAGTATAAAAGTAGTGTTATTATAATTAATTTTTTTTAGGTAAATTCTAATAAACTTAATAAAATATTTTATTTGTCTTTTTAATCCATTCAAATTGAAAATAATTTAAAGTTACTAATTAAAATAAAAAGAGCCTATAAACTTAATTATTTGTTTAATTGAATAATATTTAGTTTAACTATTTATTCACACCAAAGTTCATAAACACATATTATTGAGTTTCTCAAACAAGGTAAGCCAATTAGTTATTTTGGTAACTTCAATGTCATTTCATTTAGGCAGCTAAAAGGTTAATTAAACCCCCCCTTCTTTGTTCATGAAGACATCTTAATTTATTAACCGATTATAGTTTTTAACATCTAAGTTAACGATTATTAATTATAAGTCGACTTCTTTTTAATTAAAATAACAATGAGACCGATTTTTTTTTAAATAATACAACCTATTTAATAACATATAAATTAATTAAGAATTTCTATACTGTTAGATATAATAAATGAATATAAATTATGTATGGATTCTAAGGTAAACCATGTATTAAGTGGTGCACAGTATCACTACAGTAGATATACTTTTTAGTACGAAGGAACAAGAATCTATGAATAAAATGGTAGTAATTCTTTTGGTATGAATTAATTGAATTACAATAAACTTTAAATTTAAAAGTGATTCAATAAAACTGAAATAAATTTAGAAAGTATTTCAATGAAATTAAATTAAATTAACTTATGTAGTAACTTAAATAAATTAAACCAACTTAAATATTTTCAATTTCATGAAATATATGCATTATTTTAATTATTATCAATGTATATTATATTTTAAAGATTATTTTTCATTTTTACAAGTGTTTAATTGAATTTAGTTCAATTAATATGTAACATCACATTTTAATAGTATAAAACCACTAAAATAAGAGTTACAAAGATGATAACTAAAAAGGAAAACTACATATTTCACAAGAAAAATATTTTACACCTGAAGAACAAAAACATATCTATGTTGTTGTTTCACACTCAACCTCAAATTGAAACAACTAGAAAGATGTTCCCCATAAGCTCACACTATTTAAGGTAATCGTTGAAAAAAAAAACACAAACAAACAAAGAAAAAAGTAAGGATAAACTAATTATAAAAAGAGTTATACATACTTTAATATAAATCATAAAACATGCAGTTCTAATAACAAGTCAATTAAACAAACACAGTTTGACACACATTTCTAATGTTATACCTGACATCCGGATACATATACTAGTGTCGAACTATTGAGGAAACCTGCATATGTGTGGTGAAACAACATACCTCCAAATTTCCAACATACTTCCTAATTTCTACACAAGGTTAGTCCGTCAAACAATTATGGTCAATCTGACTTGAGGCTAAGTACCATCTGCTACTCCTTATCACATAACTGCCTCACTCTACTTGAGATTGGATAAGTATTGGAGTTAAAAAACATTTCCCTATTTCAAAGCTCCTACACCAAAATTTTACACAACAAAAAACATAAGGGTCTTACCCTTGGAACTCCTTTTTACATGCTTAAAAAATCATATCAGAGAAAAAAAAAACACAAAACTCATCATCATCGTATATCATATGCATAATCATATACATGACCATATAAATAATCTTGTTTCTAATGCATATTATAAACCAATTCATACTTCACAATAAGTATTATAAACCAATCATTCAAACAATCACATATATTGAATACATCTTAAGAAGTATATAAAAACTTAGTTGAACATTTTGATATTTTTGTTCAACCACCAGATCGACTCGCTTAGCTAAAAGTGCATGCCAACCCACTCGCTTAGCCACCATGACTTGCTCTGCGAATACAAAAACAATGAGTTCTACTTGCTCAGCGACTATACTCCTCAGCTAGATATAGTTCTATGCGCTCAGCGGTTACACTCACTAAGCAAGACTACATAATTCTGCAGAATACCAATTATGCAAAATTTACACCCCTCAACTTCTCATGACCTGTCTTATGCACTTTTTCCAACTTCTACCACTTCTAGATGAAATTCTAAGTTACAAAGGACCTAACCAAAAGTATATAAACCAACCTAAAAGGTTTTAAACTGTTCTACCACAAAATTTTTACTTTAAAACCACTAAAACAACTCAAATTCGATTATAATGATTTTAACTCTTAAATAACCAAGTTAGGGTCTCTAACAAGTCATAATTGACTTTACAACATACTCAAAAACCTCCATTTTGACACAGAACCTATATTTTAAACTTTTACTAGTCTAGATCCTCAAAATGAACTTAACAACCTTCTAAACTCGACTTATTGAATACTTACACCTCATACGACATATTATTATCAAATAACTACTCCAACAAGTCTTAATTGATCACAAAATACCATATGTGACTCAATTTTACTCTTTCAACTCCTAATTCAAAATCTCCCCTATGAACACCTTCCTTTTTTACTAAAAAGACCTATTGCTCCACCTAATCTTCCCTTCTCAATAATTTAGCAACATTTAACACCACCAACATCCAATAACACATAAAATTCATAATCAAAGCAAATCCAAACAACATCATATTTAAGAGATATCATTCACAACCTTAAACGTTCAAAGATTGATTAGAATCATTCCATTACCATTAGTACTAAAACTGATATTTATCTTTCAACCAAATCAACATAATTTACTACCAATTCATAAATCATGCATTTCACAATAGAATAGAAACAAAGAAAAGTCACTAACTTCCCTTACCTTAAAAGAGAACTATCACAATTCTAGATAGCTCACAAACCTCTCTTCTAGCTCAAGGAATCCTAGAAATGCCTGCATAACACAAAAATGTGATCGAAGAGGGTCCTTAAAACCTTTAATCAATAAGGAACTAGGTAAAGGGACCATACGACACATGCGATAAGAAATCGCTACGAATGATCTCAAACTAAAGCAAAAGAAAAAAGGAGTCGAAACTTACTTGCTCTAAACTAGAAATTGATCAGTAAAAAATGGAGGATTCACCGTCATGATTTCTTAGGCACTTCCTAATCATTAAACAGACGATTCGGGAGTTAGATAACTTAGAGAGAAGGTAGAGAAACTCAAGGAACGAGTTTTTAGAGAAATGATTTATGTTTTAGATAATAAGAGATGATATAAAATTTAGTTTATATCATAAAAAATTTATTATTAAAATAAAAACACCCATCTACTTTAAATACTGAAATTTCTAGGTTATCACACAATCTTATTTAAAAATAATTTAATTTTTAAAAAATTAAATTAATGTAATAACTTTATATTAACAAATATTTATTTTAAAATCCATTTTCAAATTTCATTAAATGTAATTCTGCTTAGTTTTTAAAAGTTAAATTCATACAACAATTCCATATCATTTTTAAAAAGCTAATTCAATTTAATACTAATTTGGTTTTCTTAAAATATTTTAAACCCACCTTATTTCTCTATTTATTGTCTTCCAACACAACTAGTAATATTGATTAACATTTCTTTCCATTATATCTATGATCTCTTTTCCCACATCAACTCACCCCAAACATGATCTTTTATGTTTCCATATTCTTCCTTAAAACATGTATTTTCTTTCTCACCATGCTTAACAATCCTAAAACAACTCTTTATCATTTTATCAAGAATTTTACCTAAGATCATTATCAAATAACAATTTAATTCAAAATTAAAATTATGAAAAACCAAATACTAAATACAACATTATTTCAAACAAATCAAATCACCTTATTATATCAAAATACTCAGTAAGCAACACTACTAGTGACAGTATGCAAGAATCAGCATCACAACAATGCAAATTAGATAGTTGTTTAACAAATGTAATAAGTTGATATACTTGACTCGACCTAAATTTGGTGTTAGACCTAATTGGTAAACAGATATCCAAACATGCTATTAATAGAAGATTCACCTCAATCAACAACAACTGAAATATAACTCCTAGGAAAAGGAAAGGTGTAAAAACACATACACAAAAGAAAAGTACACATCCATCCCCAAAATTTGAAGAGAATGACGATCGTACCCTTGATGCAGTGACAAGGCATGATGTGATTGGCAAATAAAGAAAGGCACAAAGGTGAGGTGCAGTGCAAGAATAATGAACCCGTAACTCTCCAGTGCGCTTAGCCTTTTCCCTTTTCTTTTTTCCTTCTCTCTTTTTATTGGTTTGGCGATTTTATCCGAACAAAAACAATTACGTGGGAATTAATTAATTAAAATAATAAGTCTTTTTTATTTTTATTTTTACTTTTATTTTATTTTCTATTCAAAGGGCATAGGAAATGGAGAGAGAAGAAGAAGAAGAAGCTCTCTTCTGGCTCCTCTTTTCTCGCGATCGTTTTCTCTGTCAAACTATTTTCCTCTCCAAGTCCCAGTTTTTCTCGGAATCCAAACACCCTTTTGCTGAATCTCGCTTCTGCTGAGATCTGCCTTCTCTCTCGCTCATGGGTTTCTCCTCTGGACTCAACAGTACTGGTAAGATTCACTTCCATCAGAGTTCAGATCACTGTTCAAGTTTCCTTCTTTTTTTCCATCTTTTGTGTTTTTGCTGCTTTGATTGTACGAGACCAAAAAAACTGTTTTCACTTCAATTGTGTTGCTGTTCTGTGCGATTTTGTTCCTTTTCACTTTCCTTGGACCTGCTTTTTTTATTTTTGTTTATTTTTTAGATGATGATCGTAATTGCTGTAATGCAAATTTTGGGTCGGTGTTTTCATTTCTTCTAATATAATTCTTTTTTAACAGACCGTATGTGTTTTTAGGAGTCAATCTTTGGTACCCTATTTGTAGCAAAGGTCTTTTTTGAAGTACGGATTCTTAACCACTGGGTAAACTAGAATAACCCGTGTGAGTTGAACTAGTAGTTGAGTTTCAGAACTTGTTAGATAGTGATTTTATGTTTGTTTTTCACAAATAAAAATGGGTGGCGGAGGTATCTTTAAAAGTTGCCTTTTTGTTTGATCATGAGTTTGTTTTCTCCTTAATGGGTGCTTGAGGTCAGCGCATACCTTGCTGGTTCAATTGCTGTCTGTTTTTGACTGTGTTTTAGATGACATAATCTGGACTTTAATTTTTGTTGTATCTCTCTTGCCATGTGCTGAAAAGTGAAGATCCCTTTAGGACTTAATCTTGTTTGGAATGATGTTCTTTTGAGGGGCTTATGAATATCTGGTTTTTTCTTATAGCGGATTCAATGTTGAGTGAGGTTCACTGGGTCGATCACTGTTCGATTTACATGACCTTTGTTTAATAAATGGGTTTGTCTTGACTCTAAATTATGTCCTTTGATATATTTAGTTTCTTTCTTGTCTTGGGTGTGTCTTAAAATTGGAAAACCATTGGCATTTCCTTTCTTCCAATTTAGAAATTTAATTTGATACATAGTTACCTATGGAAACTTCATCTGTTTGGAGGTTCAGTAACTTAACTTTTTGGCATGAGGGTTTATGTATGCAGTTTGGTGCTTAGTTATTTTGCTTTTAATTTCAAATAATTTAGCAATTGATCTTTAAAGTTTAACTTCAACAAAGTTGTGTTTGTTTTTTCCACAGGTAAGCCTGCTGTCGATGAAAGCATTTGGAGAGGTTAAAGTCAGTGCTGTTACTAACTCTGTTTGCTAATTTTGTAACTGCATCTCAACCAAGAAGCCACATAATGAACCACTTGACCATTGAGACAGAGGATTCTTTTGCAAGCTTGCTTGAGCTTGCTGCTAACAATGATGTTGAAGGTTTTAAACGAATGATTGAGAGGGATCCTTCCTGTGTAGACGAGGTAGGACTATGGTACAGTCGGCAGAAGGGATCTAGGCGGATGGTCAATGAGCTCAGAACCCCATTGATGGTTGCTGCTACTTACGGGAGCATTGATATTTTGGATCTGATTCTCTCACTTTCTGGTTATGATATTAATAAACCTTGTGGTCTTGACAAAAGCACTGCTCTTCACTGTGCCGCTTCAGGCGGTGCTGAAAATGCTGTTGATGTTGTTATATTGCTTCTAGCAGCCGGGGCTGATCCAAACTCTGTTGATGGAAATGGTCATCGACCAGTTGATGTCATTGTTGTTCCTCCCAAGCATGAAACTGTTAGAAACAGTCTTGAAGCACTTCTTCAAACTGATGACTCCATTGCAGTGTGTAATCTCAGGGTGATCACAGCCCCATCAAATGCATATTCTCCACCATTGTCAACTTCACCAGAGAATGGCTCTCCTTCTGCACCAGATTTCCAATTGAAGTCAAAGTTAAATGATGGCTTTGTTTCTTCTGCATCAGAGAAGAAAGAATATCCTGTTGATCCATCCCTTCCTGACATAAAAAATAGCATATATTCAACAGATGAATTCCGGATGTATTCTTTCAAAGTTCGACCTTGTTCACGTGCTTATTCACATGATTGGACAGAATGCCCTTTTGTTCATCCTGGGGAGAATGCTCGGAGAAGGGACCCAAGAAAGTACCACTACAGCTGTGTCCCTTGTCCTGATTTTCGGAAGGGTGCTTGCCGACGTGGAGATATGTGTGAATATGCTCATGGAGTTTTTGAGTGTTGGCTGCATCCAGCACAGTATCGTACTCGTCTTTGCAAAGATGGGACAAGTTGCTCCAGAAGAGTTTGCTTTTTTGCTCACACTGCTGAGGAGCTTCGGCCATTATATGTTTCAACTGGTTCTGCTGTACCATCTCCTCGTTCAAGCACATCTTCTGCTATGGAATTTGCTGCAGCTATGAACATGTTACCTGGCTCTCCTTCCTCAATGTCTGTTATGTCTCCTTCACCGTTCACCCCACCCATGTCACCCTCTGCCAATGGCATGTCACACTCTTCCGTTGGCTGGCCCCAGCCAAATGTTCCCGCCTTGCATCTTCCAGGAAGCAATCTTCATTCCAGTCGATTGAGATCTTCATTCAATGCCAGAGATATTCCTATGGATGAGTTTGACATGTTGCCTGAGTACGATGCTCAGCAGCAGCAACAGCTCCTTAATGAGTTCTCTTGCCTCTCTAAACAGCCTAATGCCATGAACCGCTCCGGCCGCATTAAAACACTGACCCCTTCAAATCTTGATGATCTATTTTCTTCTGAGAGTTCATCACCTCGGTTTGCTGATCCAGCATTGGCTTCGGCTGTTTTTTCTCCAACACATAAATCAGCTATTCTTAATCAATTTCAACAGCAGCAAAGCTTGCTGTCGCCTGTGAACACAAATTTTTCTTCTAAAAATGTTGAGAATCCTTTATTGCAGGCTGCCTCATTTGGGGTTCAAACATCAGGTAGGATGTCTCCTCGGAATGTGGAACCTATTTCTCCAATGAGCTCTCGGATTTCTGTGCTAGCTCAACGTGAGAAGCAGCAACAATTCCGGAGTCTTAGCTCCAGGGAACTTGGCTCCAACTCTGCTACTGTTGCTGCAGCTGCTGCTGGGTCCCCAGTGAATTCTTGGTCAAAATGGGGACCCTCGAATGGTACATTGGATTGGGCTGTCAATGCTGATGAGTTAAGGAAACATCGTAGATCATCTTCGTTTGAGCATGGGAATAATAGTGAGGAGCCTGATTTCTCATGGGTGCAGTCACTTGTTAAAGAATCTCCAACTGAGATTAAGGAGAACTCAACTGCAACTGTCTCAAGTGGTGCAGCAGCTGGATCCTCCAGTGAGGTATCAAATATGAGCACACAAATGGACTCTGTTGATCATGCTGTGTTAGGAGCATGGCTTGAACAAATGCAGCTCGATCTTGTGGCTCAGCAAAATTAAATAAGTTTTGCTGATCCCGAGATAGTCGTCAACCAGAAAAGTTTCACTTAAGATTAGAATGTTTTTATTTTAATTTTTGTTGTGCTGATGGAAGAAGATAATAGTAACTATGAAAGGAAGCAGAAGAGGAAATTTCAAATGTAGTGTTACATGAGTAGCTTAGGAAGCTCACAAAACTACTGGGTAGTATTAATGCAACTGCTCCCAGTTTTCGCTTGCCCATAGAGTGAAATTTTAGCTTCACATTCCAGTCCCTCCAGGAGTAAATGTTCTGTTTTTCTTCCTTTTTCATTTTGGGGTAGAAAATTACAAGGGTCATTGGAGTTATAATTTCCTTGAGACTCCTTTTTGGTCCAGTTTTGGGGATGAAAATACAGGATGTTGGATATGATATTTTTCATGTAATTTGAAATAAATAATAGTGGATATGCTAGGTAGTGGGTAAGTCAGGGATATTGGAAGGTTGATACTTGGGTTATGTAACATTCAATTAAAGTTTGTTGCTGTATTAATCCTAATGCCTTTGTTTTTTTTTTTCTTTTTTGCTTTTGTTTTCTTATTCCATGTTGATCCATTACGTGAACTGTTCTGAATTTCTAAACATCCATGGATTTTTAATGTGCACAGGTTTCAATTATATTAGTATGTTTGCTTGGATTCTCCCTTTCAGAGTTTAGATATCGGCAGACATTTATATGCCCTATAATCTTGTGGCGGTATAAATATTGAGACTGGTTCAACCCTTTTGAACTGCAATGATAATTTTACATTCAGTACACAAGGTTTTACATTTTAGCTATAAGTTAGATGGTCCGTCATAACACAAGTTTTGTGGAATTAGTAAATAACACAAGTTTTGTGGAATTAGCAAATAACACAAAAGTTCAGTAACTTACGCTATTACAGGCCCATGATGTTTCATGTGACAGCTACAAATGTGGTCATGTTTATGCCTGATCAAGTTGGAAATGATCTTACGCAGATATCCAAATCAATGGCAATAACTTGGTATTTTTATGATGGAACAATAGCCAAAAAGTTAAGAGGTAAAGTGCCCTTTAATCTCAACATATCCCAAAGGAATTAAGTAACTAGCTTCACAACCGCATGATCTCCTTTTGGCAATTATTTTTTGCCTTGATCATCTTGATGATTTGTTCTCCCATTTATTCCTCCTTTTGCAAAAGGAATTAGAATGCTATCAGCATACACGCATGACCAAGTGTTCTCTTTTCAGTAAGATTTTTATACTCGTCTGACAAAACGTGTTTGTAGCTTTAACACAGTCATAGTCACAACTCAGACCAAAGTTGTCTTTAGTTGATAAGGAAATAGAAAAAGAATTTACACATTCGATTTTTCGTTATTTTTTACCCCTTGTGAATCTCTCTTTTTCTATCAGCATTTTCAGATGTCAACATTGCTTTAGTTTGCTGTGATGGTAACCATTCATTTTAGTTACAGGGTTACGATTCTCTTTTCTGTGTAGTTGTTTCTCACATATTTATTGTGCAAAAGAATTGTATCTACTTAGTATTCTTATTTATTGCAAAACAACAAAAAAACTATAACCATAAACTTCTGAACTCAATGTAAACAAAAGAAACTAATGTCAAACTAATTAAGTTAATTAAAATTAAATAATTTTACTTACTTTTAAAAAATGTTTCTGATTATAACTTGGTATCAATATTTGAAAACTACGTGTATTTACATTTTAAATTTAATAATTCAAATACAATCTAACGATTATATTTAAGTAGTCACTTTTAATAATAATAATAATTATAATTCTTGATATACTAGTGAGAAAAATAAAAAATAATTATAAAATCTTATAATCAACTATTCAATATGAAAATAGCATATATAATGTGAGAAAGTCATATTATAAGTAATCACGTGACCATTTAAACAAAATATAATCTTAAACTTTTTATTTATGAATGATTCTATGATTTAAATTTTCATTTTCATTTCAGAATTAGAAAAAAAATAGCATGTTTAGTTTCTTTGTTGTTTCGGTTAAAGGGGTCCGAGGTCGATCGTCTTTTCGGCTTTGCTCCTTTGGTCACTCGTTGTAATCTTTCGATCGTCCAGTTCTGAATGTGGTAGACCTGCAAGAAACACTCCGACGCTCAAATCAGATATTTCTCCAGAAAGTCTAAGTGTGATTATGGAAAAGATGATTTTACCTGGTCATTAACCTCATACTTATATGCTTCATTGTCATCAAACCCATTAATTGCCCATTAATACAATATATTCTTGAGTAATATAATCTGTCAATCACTCATAAATAGCGTATATTCGCATTTAATATAATTATCAAGCCTAATAATTAGCCATTAATACCTCCCAACCTATCTGTTAGTTTTAATGTCACTTGGTCGTTCGGTTGATTCAAACAATAACCGCTCGGCTGCATGTATAGGGTAACAGTTAACTTCTGCGAAGGACGAGCAGTACACCCTCCCAACCTATCTGTTGGTGTTAATGTCGCTCGGTCGTTTGGTTGATTCAAACAATAACTGCTCGGTTGCATGCATAGGGTAATAGTTAACTTCTGCGAATGATGACCGGTGCACCCTGTATAGTACATAAGCCCCCCAAGCCCCAAGAAACTAAAGACGGTTGCGAAGGGGTTTTGTATAGTTTGATCGGTTTAGAAATGGCGAGAAAAAAATTACTGTCAAAAGGGACTATAGGTGAAGTGACTGTGGATTAAGGAACACGTGGAGTCGTGGGATGTGTGACGGTTGAATTCGAAGAGTTAGGCCTCTCCAGTCGTCCGATTTGATTGTAATGAATGGTTGAGATTCGTTTCTGAAACCGCTTTTTCAGGCTATAAATGGGGGAGGGGACCGTTGTCGTTGTCACGTCTGTCACCGAGCGACTTGGGCCACTAAGTTTAAGGTAAATTCGATTTAGAACCACTGAGTAGCGTGGGACACTAAAGTTTAAGGTGAATTCGTTTTAGAACCACCGAGCGTCGTTGGCCACTAAAGTTTAAGGTGAATTCGTTTTAGAACCACTGAGCGACGTGAGCCACTAAAGTTTAAGGTGAATTCGTTTTAGAACCACCAAGCGGTGTGAGCCACTGAAGTTTAAGGTGAATTCGTTTTAGAACCACCAAGCGACGTGGGCCACTAAAGTTTAAAGTGAATTCGTTTTAGAACCATTGAGCAGCGTAGGCCACTAAAGTTTAAGGTGAATTCGTTTTAGAACCACCGAGCGGCGTGAGCCACTAATTTAAAGCTGTCGAGTAGCATACTATGGGAGTCCTGAATCAACATATAAAATACTGAAAATATCTTGTGTTATTCCTTCAACATCAAATTACAAATTGCACTTAGTTGAAATAAAATTTAAGATGGGACTCATTCCAAGTGTTGGGTACAACTTGCCACTCGGGTACTCCAAGCAATACATTCCATTGTTGAGATTTTCTTTTATCTTGAAAGGGCTTCCCAATTAGCCACAAATTTCTCATGGGCTCGGTTTCTCCGTGCTTCTGCTGTTTTACGCCACACTAAGTCACCTTCCACAAATTGCCGTGGACATACTTTGGTGTTGTATCGACGTGCTACCAATCTCTTTTGAGCCTCTGCATGGACAACAACTATATCTCTTCTTTCCTATAGAGTGTCTAACTTCACCCTCAACTGATCGTTGTTGCTCTCCATATACTATCAATCCTTCTCTGATCGTAGGTTCGTCGACCTCTACCGGCAACATAACATCCGTTTCATATGTCAAGTTGAATGATGTTTCTCAGTTGTACCGTGCAGGGTACAACGATAACTCCACAATACCTCCAAGAGCTCATATACCCAGGCACCCTTGCTCTTCCCCAACCGCTTCTTCAACTCGTTAACTATGGTCTTGTTAACCACCTCTGCCTTAGCTTTCGTTTGTGGGTGTTCTACATAATTGGTGACATGCTTTATTCCCAGGTTCTGATAGAACTCAACCAGCTTTCTGTCCACAAACTGTCTCCCATTGTCGATAACGATCACCCGTGGTAAACCAAAACGACATATTATTTTTCAAACAAATTTTTGAACTTAAGTAGCTGAGATGGTGGCTAGCGGCTCGGCCTCCACCCACTCGGTGAAATAGTCAACTACCACTAAGAGAAACTTCTTTTGAGCCTTACCGGTCGGGAAAGGTCCCACTATATCCATGCCCTATTGAGCAAAAGGCCACGGGGAAACCAGGTTATGCAAGTTCGTGCCAGACAGGTGAAAAACATTCCCATGCTCCTGACAACTTAAACATTTCTGCACAAAGTCTCCACAATCCTTCTCCAACGCTGGCCAAAAATATCCCGCTCGTAGCACCCTGGCGCGAAGTATTCGTCGCCCAATATGCATTCCACATATTCCCTCATGTAGCTCCCTCAAGACATACTAGGCCTCCTCCTGGGAAACACACTTTAACAAAGGTGTAACAAATCCCCTTTTGTAAAGTTCTCCTCCAACAAGCATGTATCGTGCTATCTTCTTAGCATCCTTCATAGACAGTCCTTTACCCTGCTCCTGATCCCTTATCAAGGTAATAATCTCATTTCTCCAATCTGGCTAATCAGGTGCCGTTGATATAGCCAAACACTCAACGGTTGGCCTTTCCAAAATATGCCGTACAACCGAAGTTAATTGGCCACTTTCCTTCCTAGTTGCTAACTTGGACAAAATGTCAGCACGAGCATTCTCCTCTCTAGGTATATGTCTTACCTCCAACATCTTAAACTGATCGGCCAAACCCTTAGCCTTATGAAAATACTGCAACAATTGATCATCCTTAACCTGAAAGCTAGCATTCATTTGTCATACGACGAGCTGAGAATCAGTTCGACACTCCACAGATGTTGCTCCCAGGTCCTTTTCAAATTCCAGGTCCGCTATTAAAGCCTCATACTCTGCTTGATTGTTGTTTATCTTAAAACAAAAGATAAGCAATTGCTCCACAACCAGTTCGCTTGACTCTTCCAAAATTATTCCTACTCCTTCACCCTTTCTACTAGCTGTGCCGTCAACGAAAAGTTTCCACGGCTGGGCTATGCCTTCCTCTTTAACTGGTAACTCTGCTTCGAATTCTGTCAAGTGTTGACCCCGCATCGATCCTATCGGTTGAAACTGCAATCCAAATTTGGATAACTCTATTGACTAACCCACGATTCTTCCTGCCAAATCCGGTTTTCTCAAGATCTTGGCTATAGGACGATCAATCCTTACCACTACCTGGTGCCCCTGAAAGTAAGGCCTCAACCAACGAGCGGTAGTCAATAATTCCAAAGCAAACTTTTCCACTAGTTGATATTGTGTTTCCGTTTCTTTGAGAACTTTGCGTATGAAATAAATGTGCTTAAGTTTTGCTGCCTCCTTTATCAAAGTCGCACTAATCGTTTCTTCTGTTACCGCCAAGAAAAGCTGCAAATTATGCCCTGCATCCGGTCTTCCCATAACCCGTGGGCTTGCCAATACCTTCTTCAGTTCATGAAAGGCGTTTTCACACTCGGTGTCCCACTTTGA